CGTGCTCAGGCTCTGACATCTGTCTGTCCGTCTGCAGTACACAGGTCCGGTCCCGGCCGAGCGGGGGGCTGAGCTGGCCATGGGAGGGGGTCGCAGCGAGACCTCGGCCCTGAGTGGAGCCGCAGGGGGGGGGCGGAGCATGGGCACTACCCACAATTCCCAGCGTCCCAACGCCTGCTGCTTCTGCTGGTGCTGCTGCTGCAGTTGTTCATGGTAAGACTACCCCACCCACACACACACACACACACACACAGAAAAACACAAACACACTCACTAAAGAGGTCCCAGTGTACTCCAGGTAGCATCAAGCTAGCCGGATGACCACTGCTGGAATATATTCAGCCACTGTGGTCAGTCTAGGGTTGTCAAAAGTATGGATACTCCAAAAAAGTATCGATACTAAAATGTTGTGTCTTGAATTGCTAGCTGCGGCTAATGGCTAGTAATAACACGCCAACATTAATCAAATACGTCTGGCTGCAAACTCTGCCCACATCCAAGTCGGCCATTTTGATTACGTCACCAATCGTAAGATTCCAGGCAAGAAAATCGTAATTGCCTCATGGCAATATAGACATTAATTTAAAAATGGTGAAATGAATCTTTCAAACACTTAATTAAACTCTATACATATTATTATGTTAAAATAGTGGATGTTAAATAGGTTTGTACAATAAGTCCAAACAAGTTTAACCAAAAAATATTTATTTCTCACATCTATGAAGGGTGGAGGGTTAGGGTCAGGGTCAGGGTCAGGGTCAGGATTAGGGTCATTAATGCCGGCCACCACTCCCGATAACATCAGTAACAGGTCAGTTTGAAATTAAAGACACTAACCTGTCAAAATTCAGTTAGATTTTGGGGTCTTTGTTTTTATCCTTGTGGTATTGAAAATGGTATTGAGTATCGAGTATTTTCCTGAGTATCGGTATCGAGTTGAAAATGTTAATATCGTGACAACCCTAGGTCAGTCAGCTCATCATGCGCGTACAGGACAGCACCGTGTGCATCCTGACGGATAAAAGACGCTGGTCTATACTGTCTGCAAAGTTACAATGTCCACTGTTACTTCCCACTTTTGCATAATGCGTGCTTGGTCATTCGTTTTGTCCGACACAAAAAGCAGCTGAATTGGAGTCGCTTTGCTAGTTCTGACCAATCAGACGACAGTTACAGGAGAAGATTTGAGCTGAAACAGCATGTCAGGTGGAGTGGGATAAGAGTTCCGCAGCAGATCCAGTAATGGTCACTGAGATCGGGTACATTCCCGACACCCTATTTTTCCTTCTTTATCTCCGGCCAATGGCTGTGGAATCATTTGAGATTTGCCACAAAGCGGCCATGCTAGCGGCCTAACGGCGAGGACAGAAGACAGAGGGCAGCAGACCAGACATACTCAGATGTGCCCATGAGCAGAGCTGAGTCTTGGGGGGGGGGTCTCAGATTGGCTGCACTTGTTTATTTGGTCCAAATGACACGCTGTCCGGCTCTATTTCAAAACGGCTTCACTGTCTTATGGCAAAAACTACATTTAGATCATTCAGGAACACTCACAGGGGTTGACAGATCAAGCGTCCATGCGCACGACAGTCTGAACGTGCACGCATTCACGCTCACCCGTCTCCATTTTGACTCATAAGCGGGCGGGATGCTATCCGCGGTGGGAAATAAAGCCCCGAAGAATGATCCTGACTCAGGAACGAGCAAGTGTGTGTGTGACCGGTTTGGGTTTCCTGTTCCAGACATGTCCGACCCTCCTGCCCCCCCCCTTCCCCATGCCGTCTGGGCTCAGACTCTGAAGACACACGGGCTTTATCGGCCCGTATTTATCGTCTGAAGGGAAGTCGCACACGCAGATGTGATGCTGGAGATCAAGATGGCGGCTTCACGCGAGCTGGAACAGTGTTATCTCGTGTTTACGTCCATGTTTACGCATTTATTAGAGGCTATTTATTTATCCAACGCGACCTACAAAGTAGGGGGGCACTGTGAGTAGTGTGCTGTTGCTCTAAACCCAGCTAACAAAACTCAGGCCTGTGGTTAATGTTCAAATATAGCTGGCAAAAATTCAAATTTTCTCCAAATTCGAAAAGATGCTCGATCTCCAAAGCTGTAGAAGCACCACAGTGCACAGCTCCCGTTTGCAGTTTTTAGCTAAGCTCTGACTGAGCATGTGGGGGGGCTGCGTGGTTCTTGTCTGAAAGCCCTCTTATCATATCAGTCTCACCATCAGGAGTGAAGAGGACCGACAGAAACGGAGGCGGAGGAAGAGAATATCGCAGGACATCAAGATGGAGACCATACCAAACTGTGAAGCTTGGTGAGTTTTTTTTTTTAAATCCGCCATTGACAAGAGCTGATGTTTCCCCCCCAAAGCATTTTCACCACTCACACCTTTTACATCACAACATTTAGAGGTTTTTAAGATGCTGTCCATCAGATCCTGACTGCCCTGTTCTTTAAATCGTGTCCAAACTTTAAAGTTAATATGCAAATGCATCAGCAGATGATAGTTTTCAATTCTCCCATCTTTAACGCAACTTAAAATGTGTCCACACAGACAAAATCACAAAATCAGAAGAAAAAGAAAAAAGCTTTTAACAGGTGCTGAGTTGTCTGATTTTCCGAAAATAGCATTAAAGGAGAAAAAAATAGTCTGTGCACTTCAGAATTTGATTTTTTTTCAAAACTAATGTGGATTTTACTATTCAAAAAAGCTATGAAGCTTCTTCTGAAATTCAAAGTGTGTGTGTTTTTTTTAGTTTTTTTTTTTACTGTTTACCTCTACACAAATCTTTATCAAAAGCCCTCATCCCAGCAAGGCGGGGGAAGTGTAAACCATAAAAAATCCGCCAAATAAGTAACAAACCTGCTGTAGTTGAGTGTATTTAAGAAGAGGATTAAAACCTGAGTTTTCCCCATAAAACAAACAGAAAAAAACAAGTTTTTTCAGTTTCTTTGTACATATCTCAGCAGCACAGGGTGCACACTGTTATGAGATATATGAAACGCTCTGAAACTGCACGCTAGCCCACAGTTAGACCTTTAAAAGCTATGGGTGGGTTTTATTTAGCAGGATGGGGAATAGATAGACCTTAAACTAAGTGTAAACTGGACAATGATCTGTGTTTAGTAGTAAGACTTCCTTTTTTTCTCATCTGAGATGTGTCTAACAGATATGATCATGATGGAGGTAGAAGGACTTCCTTTTTATTCACTTTATTCCCCCCCTCCAGCGCCAAGCCCTCGCCGGAGGAGATCCGGCTCTGGTCTCAGTCCTTCGACAAGCTGATGAGGAACCCGGCGGGTCGCAACGTGTTCCGGGAGTTTCTGCGCACCGAGTACAGCGAGGAGAACATGCTCTTCTGGCTGGCCTGTGAGGACCTCAAACAGGAGGCCAACGGGAGCGCAGTTCAGGAAAAAGCCTATTCCATATACGAGAACTACATTTCCATATTCTCCCCCAAAGAGGTGAGGCCACCACAACCAACACACACTCAAAGAATCCTTCCTCTCTATCATTTCAGGGAGTTCTGGGATCTCCTAAAGCCGTATGAACAGATGCATGGAATTCAAACTGTTCTGCTTTTCTTCTTTTTTTTTTTGTTTTTAACTTGCCTGTGGTTTGACAGCGTGCAATGTTTAAAGCCGCCACATCTAAGAAGATTGAAATCTGCACCTCAGAGCACCACAGTCTAGTCTCACTTCCTCTATGAATGAACCTCAGAGGGACTGGCCACTGGTCGGAAGGCTCGGGGGGGGTGGGCATAACGTTTTCAGGTGGTTAACGGTGACTAACAATCACCAATTCCAGACTAAAATCCATTTTAACGCAAAAGAAAAATGGATATATGGTGATTAAATGAGCTGAATATGGAGTCAGAAAAGGGACAAAAGTGTCTTATTCCATTTTGTGGATTCATAGTTGTATTTGTATGTCCACAAAAAATGTGGAACACAAAATTGTGCTCTCATACATGTGAGTCTGAAACACTGTTAGGGTTTTGGAGGTTTCTGTGAGTACGAATGTAGCTGTGAGGGCAACTCTATGAAGAAGATTAGAGCCGCTGAAGACAAAAATAAGAATTCTGAGATTTAAAAAGACGTCAGAATTCAGACTATTTTCTCAAAATTCAAACTTTTTTTCATAATGCAGGCTTTTTTTTCAGAACATGACGTTTTTTGGGAGAATTTCCTTTTTTTTCAATATCCGAAATAACTATTTTTTTTCTCGTAATTCTGAACTTTTTAGTGGATTAAGAATTTACTCACATTCACAAACTCAATCTGAATGGTCTTGTCTTAATAATTTTCATCGTCCTCATTATTTTTGTCCTTGTCATAGATTTTATGATTCAGTCATAGATAACAGAAAGACTTTCTTGGCCTAAAGCTCATTCTAAAAGTGTCTCAGGAGGAATTTAGCTTTTTTTTT